GAAGCAGTGTCATACCCAGATGCTGTCACCACCAGAGTTCAATTCTGGGGATAGACCTTGGTCAACCTTCCTGCCCAGCCACAAATTGAGGCTTTTTGAGTGAATTATCACCACTTCAGGACCTCCACCTGCTGCCATTGGGATTAATGCAGATTTCCGTGGGCTTTAGAGCATGCGGCGTGCTTCATACGTCAGCCTATACAGGCAGCTTGTCACCTTGGGGTGGGACTCAATCTCCTTTCTGTTAACATAGAACTGTATAGCACAGGAATGGGCCCTTCGGCCCACAATGTTGTGCTGAACATGATTAAAATTAAACTGTTGGTCAAAGGCAATCGGTGTCTGATTGAGGGACTGGGCACACGGCGGGAGATGCCTTTCTTCTGATTCCATTGCCTCCTCCTCTCCCAAGATCCAATGAAAGGAACCCCTGCACTCTCAACCAGAAGTCACTTACCTTCGCCCTGGGTCCTGTGTAACCCTGCCACTCTAGGTTGCACTTTCACTAACAGCCATGTTCTCCTGCATGGCAATGCTGAGGGTGAGAGTCACCAGCCTTGGGTTGGGCAGGGGTTCATCCTGCAGGGATCTGATGCCAGGGAAGGTTAACTGATGGTCTTATCAGTGCCTGACTGGCATATGGTTGAGTGTGCTTTGCCCAGCCAAGGCAACATGCACCTTTTACTGGCTCTGGCAGGTGAAACCCCCCAATAATTCAACAAGACTCTGCCCTATTTCCTTTTACCTCTACCACTGACTTCAAAGGAAACACATCAAGAGACATGTGAAATGGAACAAGAAAAGTAAAAACAAAAATCAACATACTGGGAGGTAGGCCTGGGGTCGTTTGATGCACCAAACAAATCTCTTGGGGGGTTTACTTAAGGACCAGAATCTATCATGTTGGTGAAAATGTCCAGGATAAATATATTGCAATCACTAAGCTTAGGAAAAGAAATTCAAATTCACACCTAATGTGTGCAGACTCCATTGGAGGCAACTTAGTGTTTGTGCCACATTAATGTGCTTTAAAGGAGTTTTCTTGCAGCAGAAATGATTTTATGCTGTTGATCCAACTCAAAGTTTCCACAATTTCTGTCAGTAAAACAAACTGCATTTGGATTAAATTAGCAGTCTGGATTCAATTACAGAAAGAATGCAGCATGTTATTATATTCCTCATAATGATATTAGGAACAGATCATCTTATACATCATTACTAATTTCAACTCAACATGGTAAAAATGCTGTGGCTTGGAATGAATTACTGTTGCAAAAAATATTAGTGACAGTAACCATTAGTTTGCTGAAGTTAAAAATCTGTAAACTCAATCTGGAATGATACTGTAAAGTTCTAACTTGGCACGCCTGGATGTTATATTCTTTTCTATTTTCCATAACATCCATGAACATGCCATCTCACATGTGACACTCTGAGTGACAGTAATTATAATAGATAAAAATTCACAGCCCTTTCAACACACGCCTGGCATAATTTCAAGAAACTAAACTGAGATTGAGATTCAATAGTTCCCAAGTATTACTTTGGGAATTCCACAGATACTTTTAAGGGATGGAGTCTTTGCCAGTAGAAAAGGAGTAACTCGAATTGGGACTTGAGTGGAAATGACTACTGTTGGAGGAGCTTGGGTCAGTGCTTCTGATCTCCCGTCAACAGCAGCAAAAGGCCTGGTCTTTTCTTAGGTTTGTGCTTTAGATCAACCCTCCAAATTAATAATAAAATCAAGTCAGCAAAGTTTTTCAATATATTTATAGGGTGGACCTTACAAAGAGACTGGAGGAGTCAGTTCTTTCTAAAGGGGAGCTATCTCCATCTCCAATGGTGTATGATACATGATGGTATTAGGCATCTTTGGCAGACCTATGAATTGCCCATGTTGCCAGCATTAACAGCCTTTGATATTCAAAGGAAGGAACTTTACCCAACTTCAGAAAGCCCTCTTGCGTCAGCAATGGATGTTTCCAGTGGCACTTAGATGGATCAGACCCTTCCTATTGTTTTCTTTTTCATTTTTTAAAATTGGATAACATTTATTTTTCAGATGAAATAGAAACTCCAAAGGATAATGTAACAGAATATTACTTTCATTCACTCATATATGCTCTGCCTGATCCTTGGCTCATTGTCTTCTGAGTCTTCATCCTGAGCTGTTTCTTTGACAGTTTTTGTCAGTGGTGGTTTACTGTAGTCTTCTATTCTCAGGGCAGGGTAAGCAGACCAAGTCTGAACCCACACAAGTGACATTATTCTGAACCATAAGTTAGCTTCTAGGCAACTGAGCTTATTAACCAACAACGCCTTTATAATATTAATAAACACAGGATATTAGGTATAACCAAGCGTATCTGAGATCACCAGGGTTGTTGGCTTGAAAAGTCACCATGTAATATTTTCTTAAACTGGTAAATTTGTATTTATTTGATGAGAACATCTCTTTGGTTAGCTGTGCTCTAATCTTATTTCCTGGGTTTCTTTTCAGATAAAGATCATATTAAAGCTCTCAGTGGTAGACAGAAAGGTTAAAATAACATACTTTTGATTAGACTAATTAGAATAAAATTATACAATTTGGTATAAGAAAATACACTTTGAGCATTTTTGCCACTTTTCAAACAATTTTAAGAGTTCTGCTCCCAGTGAATCAAATCAGTATTTAAAGAGGATACTTTCATTTCTGTAAAATACATAAAACTCCCTGTTGTTTTCATATCCAGATTCTGGACAAATAGAGGAAGTTACAATGTAGGTTTATATTTTATCACTAAAGTTGATGCAATCCAATAGTTTCAATTCTGAAGATATAGTGGCAAATATTATACAATATAAAAGTCTTTCTAATCTGCAAAATTTAGATGTTGCCATCTACACTGATGAACATATTTACATAATAAACAGATGTATTATTTAAAGAAAAGGCTATAATGGCTTTAAATACATTGCATACCTCGCAGTAAAGACAGAAGGCAATTTAACAGCGTAGTGGGGACCCTTTACCAGTTCTGATGGACTCTCATTAAAAGAGTCTTTCTATCTTTTTCTCATTCTTACAACTATTCAAAATGGCACCAGATTGTGGCAACAGTGGAAAAGCTTTTCATGTATTTTACTGTTTTTCTACTGTAAAATTTGTGTGACAATAAATTCATTCATTTATTCATTCATTCTGATGAGAGATTGACACTTTTATCACAGATAGCAGTAAACACATTGGGGAATGAGTTGAATGTTTAGTCTTGACAGGACAAGGATGGAGGTATAAAACATGCAGCCAGCTGGCACAATGGTTCCCTGGCTCCATCACCCCCAGAGTCAGGATGGCTTGGGCAGGGAGGGTGTGACAGGGCTGCTCCAGTAAAACACTGGGTTGTTAACCGACATTTTGAAAGGCCTTTTTAAGGTCTTGTGTCAAAAACTGACAGTAATTTTCCAGTTAGTCTCCAGATCCCAAGAGGGTTTCAAGGTACAGGGCAGTTGTTTTGAGGCAGCTTTCTGATGGCAGGCTTTCAGGGACCAGTCTTCCAGACAGGCTTTGAGGCCCTCTCCATCTGGCTGTCTTGAGCTGGTGGCCTGGTTGCTAGAGATCTGTATAATTAAAACCTCAGATTGGTGATACCCTCTCTCTTATGTACTGAAAAGGCATCCTGCTGTTTCTCCAGCTTCGAGAGCCTGCCTTCCAACTCTAATTGGATGGTGAGAAAACCCCCTCGTCATTCATTCAGCGAAAACCACAGCTGGATGACTATGCCCTGCATAGTACAGGCTTCAGATCTCCGTTAGACCCAGGGCAGCAGGGTTCCATAGGGAAAATCCTGCTTCTTGTATCTCTCCAGCATTTTCTGCTTCTGAAGCAGGTTTGTTCTTTGCGTAGCAGGTAAATGCTACATTGGAGGAAAATTGTAATGTTTATGTTTATGGTCAAATTTAATATGTTGTCAGGAATTAGCTGCCCAGTATAGAGTTATAGTTACAAATTCAATTAGGCTGTTATGATGATGTGATAAATATTTAGGAATATCAGTTAGACCGCAAGAAGGAAGAAATGCTTTAAATTCTCTTAGTCACTGATATTACTCTTTCTGGTATCATTTGACCTTTTGAAAATCATGATGCAAAACTGGCCATCATAGGTTGTGTCATATACAGAGTAGTTAATGAATGATGCTTATGTAAGACTGGGGTATGATTTTCATGTCACAGGTACTATGGTAGCATTATTTGATTTTTGCCCAAAAGCATTTGGAAAGAAATTTTTCTATGATGTACAAGTGTAGTGAAATTCTACATGGTTTTAACTAAACATCACTGTAAAGCCACAGAATTTAATTTTCATATTTCCCTGTTATTTAACATCAGTAGATAATTCTACTGCCCATTGTATCACTAAGAACAAGTTCTAGTCTGTGGAAAATGAACAAAACGGATTTATTACCTTTGCAATACGTTTAAGCCCAAGAGAATGTTAGGATAAAAATTGATTATAATTCTTTAGTTGCAAGATAAGTAGTTATCCCTTGGGTAACAAAAAGGTCCTTAAGCAGGTAATTATAACTTAATTACATCTGAAACCTGGAGTAATGATTCACTCTGATAGCCCTTGACTACAGTTATTACTTGTATAATATTGCATATTATTGATCACTTATTATTGAAGTAGGTAGTTCCCTTCTCAGCAGCCAATATGATATTTTAAAACAATTGACAAAAGACAACTGTGACAGGAATCTTGCACAAAAAATTTTAACTCAAAGAATAATCTCAGTTCATTTAAACTAGTGCATGAAAATATTGGCCAGTTTTTACATTAGGAAAGTCAGTATTTTATGATCTGAATTCCAAGGACTTTGAAGATCCTCATGGCACAGGACATTTACTAGACAGACATATTAAATATTAAATATTTCTAAGTTGCTTCCTACAGAAAAGCAGTCTTCAATACAGAGATAATTTATTAGTGACCGTATTTATTTGGTTTGCTTTACCTTGCTGCTGGTTTGATCAAAATGGCCCTGAACATTGTCTCTTCTGGCGTGCCCTTCCGCACATCAATGCAGTGTATGAATGGGTGAATACCAGCAAGTACAAAGCCCTTCTGATAAAATTCATGTAATTGAGTGGGAAGATGACGTAAGGAAGAAAGCTTGACTGCGGATGACTCTGTTATCTCTGAAGATAAAGCACATGAAAGAGAAAGCAGGTCATTAGAAATCCAAAGAACTAACATTTGTGAAACATCCAGTGACCCAGAATATTTCTAAACATCTAATTTAAACCAAAAGATTCCCCAGAATAACACACATCCTGTTACAGTCTTTCATTGTCTTTAAAAACGTCAGTAATTATTTGCAGCTCTTAATGAATTACACCCACTATTTATAAAGTATAAAAATATACGTGAAGTGTTAAATTCTGAGTCCATATGTTACTTGAAACAATTTCTAGATCACATCTCATTTACATACTTTACACAATAATTAACTACATCTAATTAATACACGTATTTAAATTCACTGCATTTAATTATCATGTTCCAAAGGTTTGTGAGTATCTGTATCACCCACAGAAAGAGTAATTTCATTCCAGCGATAATTCATTAGCGTCATCTTTCACAAAAACAGAACAAAGAAATCCACATTGCTAATTCAATTCTCCTCCCCATTGAGTACCATGAAGTGCTGCTTATCGATCTCTCCATAACACTGCTGCCTTTACTGCTAAATGATAAGATGTTCAAACTTGGGAAACATGTCCAAAAGTGTTCCTGAATCTATACGGTGTCCTAGCACATTGAACCATAGGGCAGAAAGAAGTCAATTGGCCATTTATATTCACACTATCTCTTTCCCACAGAAAGGTTGTCCAACCTAGCGCTCATAACTGAGGAATTGTAGTCCCTGTTCTGCTTTGAGCTGCTTCAAATTCTTGGGTTCCCACAAGAATTTGGATTGGGTTGTTTTTGGTACCGTTGCATTGTTGCTGACTAAATCAGCCCAGCTTTGTAAGTACCAGCAGATCCATGCAGATTAACAGGAACAAGGCAATGATTGAAAGTTCATTATAACAGTGTGGAGCTGGAGGAACACTGCAGGCCAGGCAGCATCAGAGAAGCAGAAAAGTTGATGTTTCAGGTCAGGATCCTTCTTCAAAAATGGGGGAGGGGGAAGGGAGCTGGGACATAATTAGAGAGGGGAGGGGTGCGGCTGGGGAAGGTAGGTGGGATGGTGATAGGTGAGTGCAGGTAGGCAGTGGTGGGGATTGCTCAGTGAGGTAGGAGTGGCAGATAGGTGGGAGAGAAGATGGGCAGGTTGTTTCAGGTCAAGGAGGCAGGGATGAGAGGGAGGGTTGGTCATGGGATGAGGCTGGGGATGGGAGAATTTTGAAACTGGTAAAGTCCATGTTTAGGCCATTGGGCTGTAGGCTCCCAAGGAGGAATATGAGGTGCTGCTCTTCCAGTTTCCAGATGGCGTCATTGTGACACTGGAGGAGGCCCAGGATGGACATGTCACCCAGGGGGCAGGAGGAGAAGTTAAAGTGGCTCGTGACCGGAAGGTGTTGTCGTTTGTTGCAAACAGAGCGCAGGTGTTCTACAAAGTGGTCTCCGAGCCTCCGCTTGGTCTCGCCAATGTAGAGGGAGCTGCGGATGCAATAGACCACATTGACAGATGTGCAGGTGAACCTCTGTCTGATGTGGAAGGTTTGTTTGGTGCCTTAGATGGAGGTGAGGGAGGAGGTGTAGGGGCAGGTTGCAGGGAAAGGTGCCGGGTGTGGTGGGGCTAGTGGAGAGTGTGGAGCGGACGAGGGAGTCGCGGAGAGAGTGGTTCCTACAAAAGGCAGATAGGGGTGGGGAGGGAAAGAGATCTTTGGTTGTGGGATCAGATTGCAGGTGGCGGAAGTGGCATAGAATGATGCGTTGGATACAGAGATTAATGGGGTGATATGTGAGGACAAGGGGAATTCTGTTTTTGTTGCGGGGAGGGGATATGAGGGCAGAGGTGCAGGAAATGCAAGAGATGCGGTTGAGAGCATTTTCGACCACCGAAGGGAGGAAGTCGTGGTCCTTGAAATACAAGGACATCTGGGATGTTCGGGTGTGGAATGCCCCATCTTGGGAGCAGACGCAGTGGAGGCAGAGGAATTGGGAGTAGGGGATCACATTCTCGCAGGAAGGTGGGTGAGAGGAGGTGTAGGCTAGGTAGCTGTGGGAGTCGGTGGGCTTGAAATAGACATCAGTTTCCAGGTGGTCACCAGAGATGGAGACGGAGAGGTCCAGGAAGGAGAGAGAGGTATCAGAGATGGTTCAAGTGAACTTGAGGTTGGGGTGGAAGGTGTTAGTAAAGTTGATGAACTGTTTGTGCTCCTTGTGGGAGCACGAGGCAGCGCCGATACAGTCATCGATATAACGGAGGAAGAGGTGGTGAATAGTGCCAGTGTAGCAGCGGAAAAGGGACTGTTCCACGTATCCTATGAAGAGGCAGGCCTAGCTTGGGCCCATGTGGGTTCCCATGGCCACCTCCATAGTCCATAGGAAGTGGGAGGAGTTGAAAGGGAAGTTGTTAAGGGTAAGGAACGAGTCTGGTTAAGCGAATGAGGGTGTTGGTGGAGGGGGACAGGTTGGGCCTGCGGGAGAAGAAGAAGCAGGGGGCTCTTAGGCCATCTGCATGGGGAATGCAAGTATATAGGGACTGGATGTCCATTGTGAAGATGAGGTGTTGGGGGCCTAGGAATTGGAAATCTGGGAGAAGGTGAAGGGCGTGGGTGGTGTCCCGAATGTAAGTGGGGAGTTCCTGGACCAAGGGTGAGAAAACAGAGTCAAGATAAGCAGAGATAAGTTCAGTGGAGCAGGAACAGGCAGAAACAATGGTCGGCCTGGTTTGTGGATTTGGGGAAGGAGATAGAAATGGGCAGTGCTGGGTTGGGGAATGATGAGGTTGGAGGCTGTGGGTGGGAGGTCACCTGAGGTGATGAGGTTGTGAAAGGTTTCAGAGATGATGTTTAGGTGGTCAGGGCTGGGGTCATGAACGGGGGGCAGTAGGATAAGGTGTGAGAGCATTGGCGCCCTGGCTTCAACTATGTAAAGATCAGTGTGCCATACCACTACTGCACCCCCTTTATCCCCACCCCTATCTGCTTTTTGTAGGGACCGCTCTCTCCATGACTCCCTTGTCCGCTCCACACTCCCCACTAACTCCACCACACCCGGCACCTTTCCCTGCAACCGTAGGAAGTGCTATAACTGCCCCTATACCTCCTCCCTTACCTCCATCCAAAGAACCAAACAAACCTTTCACATCAGACAGAGATTCACCTGCACATCAATCAATGTGGTCTATTGCATCCACTGCTCCTGACGTGGCCTCCTCTACATCGGTGAGACCAAGAGGAGGCTCAGAGACCGCTTTGTAAAGCACCTGCGCTCTGTTCGTGACAAACAACACCTTCTGGTCACAAACCATTTCAACTCCCCCTCCCACTCCCTGGGCGACATGTCCATCCTGGGCCTCCTCCAGTGTCACAATGACGCCACCCGGAAACTGGAGGAGCAGCACCTCATATTCCACCTTGGGAGCCTACAGCCCAATGGCCTCAATGTGGACTTTACCAGTTTCAAAATCTCCCCATCCCCGGCCTCATCCCATAACCAACCCTCCCTCTCATCGCCACCTCCTTGACCTGACACAACCTGCCCATCTTCTCTCCCACCTATCCACTCCTCTCACCTCACTGAACAATCCCCACCACTGCCTACCTGCATTCACCTATCACCATCACATCAACCTTCCTCAGCCACACCCCTCCTCTCTCTATTTAGTTCCCAGCTCCCTTCCCCCTCCCCCATTTCTGAAGAAGGGTCCTGACCCAAAATGTCAACTTTCCTGCTCCTCTGATGCTGCCTGGCCTGCTGTACTCCTCCAACTGTGTTATCTCTGACTGCAGCATCTGCAGTTCTTACTATCACTGAAAGTTCATTGTTGTATACAGTATCAGCCTCTCCATGTGTAGCAGATGAAACATTGCTACAGTAGAATGGCTCATCATGGGGCTAGATATTACACACTCCTGATGCATCTGCTTTGGGTTGGGGAGGTAGAGGAATGACAATATCTCTCACTGATTCATCGCCAACCAGCCCACTGTATGCAATGAAATAATTATAGATATTCTAGAAATATATATTTTGGTGAATTCCTGGATTGGTCAGTATTACAGTATACTTACAGAGGAATAGATGAATTGTCCTTACACAAGGGCTGTAACAAACATAAAATACAAACTTACACAATGCCCTTCCTGACAACCAAGGGATTTACGGTCAGCGCTCTAATATAGGAAATGTAGCAGTCAAATTGTGCAAAATCTCACAAACAAAGCTAATCTATTTTTATCATGTTGATTGACGAATATTTGCCAGAATATCAGAGATAATTTCGCTCCTCTTCTTCAAAACAGTCGCTTGAGATATTTTATGCGCAACTGAAGGACCAGGCAGGTTCACACTTTAACATCTTGTCCAAAGAACACCAACTGTTTGTGGTCAGCATTCATAGTGCCTCTGGGTTTACAGTCAGACAGGAAGCTGGAGCAGAGGCTGCAGAAACAGGATATTCTGCTCCTTGCCCTATTCCAGCTTGAAGCTGAGCTGCTCCCTGGCCCACGACAGTCAAGGATTCAGGGCTAGGCAATGCGCCCAATATTTTTGTTTGGATACCCATTAGTGTTTTTCTATATTCTGCACTATCAGGTTCCTCCTCTGTTATCTGAAGCAGCATTTCTACCTTGCCTTTGGGAGAGCTGGCAAACGAAGAATGCTTTATTCCTGGTGTGACTAAAACTACTCCAATGACTCACCATCTGCTGATCTCTATTCCGCATTAATCTCAAAGGAATGTGCAGTGCCAATTGTGAACTCATGGCTATGAGTGCCTGATTAAGTGACAAGGCTATTATGTGAATATATCAGCTTATGGTGCTATAGGAGCTGCTGCTCATGGTGAAGCTTGGTGCCACCATCCACTTTATGTGTAGGAAACTGCAGGGCCTGCTTGGTCTAGTGTGGTAGAGGAAAGCCACTTCCTGGTCTAACTAGAGAAGCCTTTTAGAACCGAAGAAGGGTCTGAAGAAGAAAAGGGCTACTGGACCTGAAACGTTAAACCTGATTTCTCTCCACA